TTGAACAACAAAACATCAATTTCTTCATAAATGCATATATGTATGTATATATGTAATATGTATAGTAGAAATATATATAGTCAGGCCTCAATATTCACAGATTCGAAATCCTCAGATGGAACCAACCACAGATGGAAAATATTTGGAAACAAACCCTAATAAAAATTTTTAAAAAAACAATAAAAATAATATCAATTAAAATATGGTATAATTGACATAGCATTTACGTTGTGTTAGATGCTATAAATAATGAAGAGATGATTTAAAGTATATAGGAGGATGCTTATAGGCTATATGCAAATCCTACACAATTTTATTTAAGGAGTAGCATCCACTGATTTTGGTAGGATCCTGGAACCAGTCCTTTGTGGATATTGAAGGGTGACTCTGTATGTGGACGCAAGTGTATGAATACATACACATACATGCAAATGCATCTATATAATTTGTCTAGGAGAAACAGAGATTATCTGAAGTATTATTCAGCCTATGATATTTGTCTCAGTCCCCATAGTTCTTGGCATTTCCCTTTTTTCTATACTTTATGAATATGGGTGTTTTCCAATCCCCATCCTATCTTAGTTGGATTCTAAGGAATGAAAATTATTTATATATATGTGTATCTGTGTATTTGTATATGTGCATGGGTATGCATGTATGTATCTTCTAACACATTTTTGGCTACTTAATACATATTAAGGTTTATAATTCTTTTTACTTGGAATATTAGAACAAATTGAAAGTATCTTTGTGCTTGAGCTTCAACTTTTAAATAATAACCATTCAAATGATTTTAGTGGGAATTAGTTGATATGGACATTTAACACATATATTTCTTTAAATTTATACTTTGTTGTCATATGTGTATGGGGTTTGTTTTATACATTTTGAATATAATTGTAGACTAGGATAGAAAAAAACAGTATCACCAACATTGATGGAAACAGTGTCTTAATTCTTGGTGGGTGGTTATTTGCACAAGAGATGCTTGCACGGTTAACAAAAATGTTGTAGTTCCTTTAATTAAGTTGAATAAATAATATTCTAGTATGTCTTTCATTCAGACTGCCACCATTTGTCTGTTCCCTCTTTTTTATTAGAATAACTATTCATTACCCATCCATATCTGTTTTGAAATTATCTATGTTGGGACATTTTAGTTTATTGATTGCAATAGTCTATCATCATTCAAAATTAATCAAGTAAATTTGAATTATTACTTCTTACATTCTGCTTTAACTTCTCTCACTTCTTTTGTCCTCATAGCCAGCGAAAGTTCATGTAACGGTTACCCTTGTCTTCCCTTTGTTACTTCTATATTTAGCCATTTCTGAATATATGAATTTTCATCATTACTAGTTAGGTATATTTCAAATTCCACTGGTACTTATCTCTGAATTATCTTAATGAGAAATTATAAGCCATCTCTCCCTACATTTTGTGTTACTTACTACTATTTTAAGTAAAGTACCTCTTCAGTAGAACCTATTAATAATTAGACAGTAGCTTTAAAAAATTATGCTTTTGTGAAATCTTTAAAAATGGATTATACTTTTGAAATCTGATTGAAGGTCAGTAGCTAGTGGTAGGAAGAGACAGTAGGTATATTTCCATGCTTTAATTTTAGCCTAATGATTTCAAGAGCTGACAATACACAAAAGCATGGTAGAAAAACTAAAAAACATAATGCAATCTTACCTATTGCTACAGGGCTGAGCCCTGATCTCCAAAAGCTTTGGAAACATAATTTAATTAATGAATTTATCACTGCACATTTCTTTTAAAATCTGCACAGTATAGCTAGGATTTGAATGACTCTTTCCCATGATTTAATATTGATTTTTAAAAGACCACAGCAAGACATGGCATGCAAAGCCTTTGGGGCCACTAATATAGAGTCTAGGGGCAAAATAAAGTATGATACTTTCTATCAGACTATTTTTCAAAGGGGATTTTACATAGTCCTATTTCATAAGATGCTCCAGGACAAAGGTTTTATGTCATATAAGATTTGAACAGATTTTTAAAGGATTCAAGTAGTAAAGAAATTTCCTCTTTACCATGGATCTTCAATTCCTTTATCTTCTTCTTAATTTTAAAAATACTATTAAAATCCTATAGACTATTTTTGAGAAAGACTAGAATATAGATTTTATGATGGTATGGAGGGTTTGAATGAAACTAATACAAATTTTATTGCTTAAAAATATATTTGAAGGCCTGGTTTATTGGCTCTTTCCTCTTTGTTTCAAAACATTCATCAAAAAGATACTTGCCTAGAAATCAGGGCAAGAATTAACAGAATATATTATCTATTTATAAAGGCAAAGGTTGTTGCTGTTTTTACAAATCTGAATATTTAATTATTAGCTCAGCATCTCTCTCAAAACTTGCTTGCAAGGAAAATGAATAAATAAAGAAAAACCCAGCTTTGTTAGAAACAAATTATTCAGAAATATTGTACAGGAAAACATTGTCTAAAATTCGTCTAAAATAATGTTGTCTATGACCCACAGGTTATATCACACATCGAGGTATTTTAAAGGTGAAGTGTGCTATTATGCTATGGTTTAAGAACACTTGCAGTGGCCTGCAAATTTCCTGTTATGAATATTGACATGAGCCACAAGGTGATTGTATTTGAATCACACATGTAGATTTCCTTGATTACTAAGGTATCTGCAATACATACATATATAAATCTTGATAATATTTTGGTATTAGATGATCAGATATCCTGGAAATATACAGGTTTTTTTCTTTTTCTATGTATGTATGTATGTATGTATGCATGCATGTGTTTATTTGTTTATTTGAGACAAGGTCTCACTCTATCACCTAGGAGGAAGTTCGGTGCTGCAATTACTACACAGTGCAACCTGGACCTCCCAGACTCAAGTGATTCTTCTGCCTCAGCCTCCCCAGTAGGTAGAACTATGGATGTGTGCAATCATGCTTGGCTAGGTTTTGTATTTTTTTGTAGAGACGGGGCTTTGCCATGTTGCCCAGGCTGATTTCATTCAAACTCCTGGGCTTACATTTTTAAACGTGATTTTCTCTCTTTTACTGAGACATCCATCGCAGTCTCTCAAAGTGCTGGGATTACAGGAATGAGCCACAGCATCCAGCCCCTTTTTATTTATTTATTTATTTATTTATTTATTTATTTTTCTTATAGCTAGACTACTTTAAGGTGAAAAATGTTTTGACTGGAAGATGCAAAGGCTAGTCACCATTTTAGTTCTTCATATTAAACACACAGCTGGATAATTGTCATGCATCTGTCTTTGGGATTCTTGACAGCTTTGCAGCACTCCTACGTGTCAGATTCTTTCTCTGTGCCTAAGAAGCTGAAGGCCAAAACTGAGACTGCACTAAATTCATCAAAGTGAAAGAAGTCTTTACCAACTTGTGGAAGTAACAGATTCTCTTCCCCTTCCTGTTAGCTTTTCTACGGGACTATTGTTTTGAACTTTTAAAACTTGATTTTCTATTATTGTACAGTTTTATTTCACATCTCTCCTACGAAATGAAGTTTAGTGTGAACTCTGCTTCTCTCCTCTGTAAAAGAGATAAAAATCACATTTTAAAAAATTGAGGACATTATCATTTCTTATGCAAATGCTTTTGTGCAACATTAATATATCTTTTCTCCAGCTAACAGATAACAGTAATCAAGAGAGCATAGTGTGTTACTTTAATAAATATTTCTGATAATTTTACACTTTTGCCATTTTATACACAAATTCCATAAGGGAATGGTTGTTTGGTAATTGTCCTACCATTTATAATATTACCATACTTTGTTTTTAATCATATGTATTTTGTCATTGTATTATGCTAATGCAACATCATTTGTCATTATAGTAATATTATTTTATTGTTGCGTTATTAATATAAACTAAATGACACTCTAAAATGTGTTGTCCTAAACCTTGTATTTTAAAAAATATTTTTAAAATGAGTGTTTCAGGATTTATCAATAATCTTTTTCCTTTTCCTGTTTTAAAGAAAACAAACTACCTCTCTTTATTTTTGAAAAAAAACTGAGGCTATAGTTTTACTTAGCAGTGAAAAAGAATAAAATATTTATGAAATACAACAAAATGGGGTGGTTTTCCTTTCTACTTAGTCCCTGAGATAACTTTTCAACATCCAAAGTAAAAACATCCAAAATAAAAAAATTTATAATTAGCTCTTCTCAAGTAATTGAGAAAAATTTATTTTCTTTCAATTTTCATATTTACTTATACTTTCAAAATAAGGTATTTGTTTTAAATCTATCTAAAGGTCTTTATGTTATGGGGAAGGTAGCAGTACTGATGGAACGGCATCTGTATTTCAAATGTTTGCTGTATTCTTTATCAGTGTCTATTAGTCCCTACTAAAAGGCAACCGGTTCCTGTTTATTGCCACTCAAACCATAGCTGAATAAGAAACAGATATAATGCATTTAGTCACAAAATATTAATGTAGAGCTCTAAAAGTGACTAGATGGTCTGTTTTTGGCATGTCAACAAGCAAGTTTGTTTTACATAAAGGGCTTTTCTGCAAATTTGAAATGTGAATATATTTTATTTTTTTCCCAGTGAGTACACAATACACAATTCTTTGACAATACTATTAATTGATTTTATGCCAATTTCTTCTCTGCTCTAACAACATCAAATGAAACACATTAAGATTTTGGATGCTGCTTGGTGACTTAATTAAAACTACAATTTAAAAAAAAACCCATCTATAAAACAAAGTATAAAAAGTCTACCCACGGCCACAAAATCCCTTTTCTTGCAACACTTTAAAATCACAACAAATGCTTTTGAAATTATGAGATTAAAAAAAAAATTAATGAATTGAACATCATTTTTTTTTAAAGCATGGTGTTTCATTTGAAGTACACATTATAGAGAAGCAAAATAATGTGGAAAGACATGTTGCTTTACAACAGTTCTTGTCATGGAATTCCACAAACAATATACAGAAGCAGGTGAACAAATTAGTGAATGTTATGTTTCTGCATATCTTTAATACTGATGCACAGTTACTTCCCAGTAGTGAAGATTAACCACAGTTTCAAGCTCAAGGGTATTGTTATCATTATATTGTCAATGGACAATTACATAAATTTATTGAAAAGAAATTGGGAGGTGTTCCATAAAAGCAGATTACAAACTTTCAACTCAAATCCTGTGGAAAACATATTTAAATACTCAGAGCATTAAACTATGACATAGAACACCGTTAAATATTTTTTGTACTTAAAACAAGTAAACTTTGCATGGTTTTACATTTGTTGGTTGTGTGATATCTTACGTGTTGGTTTTGAATTTTCTATATCCTTCCTTGAACTGTATTCAAATCCTGTGAAGGAATCAATTCTTTTCACGCCCCTGTACTATCCCACCTTAACTTGAAAATCTTATAGAACATGTTTGGAAGATGGGTAGGGCAACTTCACCTGCATACACTGGCATACCTGAGTTTGGGCACCAATACAGCTATTTTCCCAAAGAAGACTTTTCCTGTTGTGAATGGAGCTGTGCTTGTGCTGGGCATGACTGCAGAGCAGCATTGCCTATGAGTGCAAGATCAGATTACGTTCTCTCCCACCCAGATTCTCTTTTGCAATCCTCATGCAGGCCTCTGTTTAGACCTGCAAAAGAGTGAGCTTAGTGAATTTCTAATCACATTGATTGAATCAGCGATGAAATGAAAAACTGCTGTGGTTCTCATATGTGTTTGTTTTTTTCTGTTGACATCTGACACACACTGATTAGGAGCTTTTTACATGTAGCAAGTTGACAAAGGCTTTTAATTTCTAATGATTGTTTTGGAATTCCTTTTAATAGCTACAGCATTTTATCTTGCCCTCGATCTACTTAAGGGTGATATTTTGGGTGCATAATTTGACTGCCCTATTAGTTTAAAACCAGGTTTAACAGACAACATGGACTATTCTAAAAGAATATTCCAAGTAACTCCAAGGTTTGCACTGACATAATTTTAACTATAACAGTTAATTTTTATATGCTGAAGACAATCAGGAAGGTCGGATGCTATGCCCACGTTATGCCAAAAGTCATCTGTATACACATACTTCACTTCGAAGCCTTGGTTTATTAATCATCTACACCTACCAGTTACCAGGGATCAAAGGTTATGTGTTACGTATGTAATGAACTAAGGTTTTAGACTAAACTGGGTCATGGAGAAATCTAAAGAGATATCACAAAACCTCTTTAAAATTTATTTGCCTTTAAATAGAAAGAGGTTATGTAGGGAAATGTTTAAGTCCTCACATCCTAAAGTTGTGAATAAGTATGTATTCGCTCTTTGTAGAAACTTTTCATCTTCCTCAGCCTCTTTGTCCCAGAGAAATCAAACTGCATTAGAATTCAGGCACTGATGGTAGAAAGTTGATAAAGGGTTTAATAACTGTGTCTCAGAATTCTTTTTCCCTTCAGTGAAGAAATAAATTACATGGCACCAAAAAGCTGTTGGGGCCTGTGAAGAACATTACATCCTATACTTGCCTGTGCTGAAGCAGTCTCAGGGAATAAAAAAGACGGAAATGTTTAATTCTGTTAACCCTTTGTTATAACAACATGACAAGTTGGTTACTGAGCCAATAATGAATGGAGTGCGAATTGTCATTCAAAGGGGTTCCCTATTTTAGAACTGATCCTAATTAGGCTGAACATTTTTAGATGTACCAACCACTGAACTTATCATAGGAAAAATTTGAGAACTTATAGACAGAAATAGAATTTAAGATTGTGCGGGAAACACATGGGAAAATGTCACAAGAGGGAATTTCAGAAAGGTCCTCTTCTACTTGAATGATTGACTATACATGTACAGTAGCTAACATATATTTTAAAATCACATTTATTCTGACCATACATGACTAATGTTCAGGAACTTCTTGTTGTCAAAGTCGTGAAAAGAAATGAGGCAGGACAATTATTAATGTCCACTTACAAGGTTTGGTTTTATTTAAAAAGTTTATAAACATGCATTTTTTTCTCCTTTAAATTTTTCTTTTCAATTTACTCATTCAAAATGGGTCAAACGTATTTTAGTTGGTAGCCAATTTCTGAGAATGTACCGTAAAATATTTATTCCAATAAATCTACTCACTGTGAACTGAACATACTCTCAGCACTGCTTTTTAAGCACGTACAATTTGGCTATACATTGGGTGGCATAAACTTCACTTCTTAATCAAATAAAACACAAATTGTATATAGATTGTATTACTTTTTAAGTCATGAATTTAAGTGATGCAGCTCTATCCTCTAGTGTGTACTGTACATGTATTAGAAAGATGAAATAAGATATTGCAATAGAGTTTTTATTTGGAAACAGCTCGAGTATGCCCTAATAACAAATTGCTTCTTTATTTGCTAGATATTCGAGAGTTCATTTTCTTCACTTCCTTGGGGAATTTCATATTATATTCTGACTTAATGATTTGGAGAGCTTAATTATGATAATTCAGAAAGTGTTTTTTAAAAACTGTAATATAAATACAGCTCTTGTGAAACACCTTAATTTTGCTTATTGTAATTTTCAGATGGGTCAATTACAATGACAGGTAAAATTGATTCTAAATAAAACTTTAATTTCTTTTTTTAGGCAAATTTATTACATCTTTGCTACCTGCATATTTTAATGCATATTCGATCGTAAGACTTAAACTACCTTTTTGTGACCCCTGCTTTTGTTAATAGTAAAAGCCACCTTTCTATTATTTTTTTTATTGACTCAGTCCCTGATATTCAAAGGAGACTTTGCCAACACCATTGTTCCTTTGCATCTTCCTATTTCTACACCCCAACTGAAAACCATCTAACATACTTTGTTACAACCAGCATTATCCAACCTAGCTTACAGTACAGAAACTCCCTTCACATTCAGTCTTTTTCTTCATGTCATGAGGAGTAGAGATTTGTGCTTATCACCAAATAAAATTGCAGTGCAAAATTTAAACATAAAAGTTACACAATTAAAAGTTAATATATGGCACCACAGCCTATTAATTCACATATAGTACAACAGACCAATAAGAACAGACAATAATATGAACAGAGCTAAAAAGAGTGAGCTTGCATAGCAATGCACAAAAGAAATTATATACAGAGGAAAATCCTTTTCTTCCTGTAGGGTGAGTTTTTTTTTCCTTTCTTTTTTATATACTCCTGACAAGAAAGAGTTAAGGTGGGTGGTGTACTTAAGAGAAGAACACAATTAAAATATCTGTGGGATATGTGTGGCTGTGTGTCTTTACATTGCATTTACAGTTGTTTTAATAGTACATAAATAAAGAAATTGTTCATTGCACTGTTTAGTGTCATCACTTCCATGAGTTTGGACCTGATGGTCCTTCAGAGCAGCTTTGAATGTCTCCTCTCAGTTACTCTAAAAAGAGAGAAAAAAACAGAAATAAATTTTAAAATTTAAATTAAGCATTCTACTTTTCTGGCCAGCATAACCAAAAGCAAAGCAAACAGATAATTAATAATTAAGTAAGGTATTCAGATAGATTAGTTTGTGAATTTAAGTAATTTTACTTGAAGGAGGTGACCAAAGAGTGAAAGAAAAAAAATACCATAGAGTTTGGAAGTGTAAACACCCCACAGAACTATTTTGGTACTCCTGTGAGTCATTGCTTAAAAAAAAAATGTTAAAAGAAAAATTTAAGTAACTATGAATTAAATTAAAATTCTAAACAAATCTTAACAATAGTCAGATTAGCAATAGTCAACAACGACAACTGAAATCATTAAGGAAATTTATAGTTTTGAAATTATTTCTCTTTTCTTCATCTCACAGAATCCTCCAAACAATCTATGATGTGAAGATAATGGTAATGTTTTTTCTGATGCGGAAATAGACAGATTAGAAAGACAGATTACTTTCTCATGTCCAACAACAAGTTAAGTGGTTGTGAATATTAGAAAAATGGCTGTTTTCTCGGCAGTGCTTTAAAGCAGAATTCAAAGAGGCAGTTGAAAATATTCAGCAAATATATTTCTGATAATGAAAAGCTGAATTGGTAACTTTCTGGAGGAAATTAACATAAGGCACTCAATGTTTTTTGCTGTGGCATTCTTAGCTTTCCCTATTACCCAGTATTTTATATTTAGAAAATTAATTATACTAACTACTTGTGCCAGCTTTTATTCACAAATGGAAATTTATTTATAAAATGTTATTGCAGTCAAAATATTACAGATTAATTAATAATCAAAGATCAACTCTTCAAGAGTGACTACTCAAATTTAAAAAGTAAATAAAGAGCAACTAAAGAATGAGGAAATCCTTAGAAGTTTCTTTAAAACTACCAGAAGGCCAATGTCTCCCCTTATTTATTGTGCTCAGTTGAAAAGGCAAAGAAAATGACAAATACACATATAATTTCACTTACAAATATTAAGACTAATTACCTAACTTAAAACAATTTTTATAGCATAACTCAAACTTGAAATAACAGAAACATTGATAAAAATGGGCTGTGATAAATATAGGGATGGCCCAAGTTATGACCAAATTTGTTGAAAACTGCAATTGATTATTTTTGTAGCAGAGCAAGTTTTCCAGTAATCTGAAACGTGTTTAATATGGCAATGTTATTCACCCAATATTCTTTCTGAATCACCATAGCGTTTTAAATGACCTACAGCACTTACATAATTCACCTGTAAACTGTCCTTGACTGTTGGAGCCCATATATCCTATGTCAAGAAGGTCGCTGGCATTGCGCTGGTGGCCTGCTCTCAATACTTCTGCTTTCCTAGGTCCAGTGGATCCTTTAGAAGAAGCTGTTCCTGATGAACTATGGCCACCTGGAGATGGGAAGCTGGGCTTGCTGTAGGGCACCAATGTCTCCTCTGAAAAAGAGAAAAAAAACACAAAGGACTAAGTTGAACAGCAACATGGAGGCAAACTAAACTTAACTGTTAAATATTACACTGTGAATGGCCTACTTTACCACTTCATTCTTTAGTAAAATTAAAATTATGAGGTTTAATCAGAAGCGGATATTAAAGAAATTTTTATGTGCAAGCAACATTTCCTATAATAGGAACTGAAGCAGAATTAAATTAAAAGAGATCTTGGGATAAGTACACAATGTTATATATTATTTTCCAAATTTAAATTCATTATGAAAGAGAGCTACATACAATGAACTACAAAAGCATATCTGAGAATAATTTCTAAAGTTCAATGAGGCTCCAATTTGATTTTCCCATTAAGATTGAAGAAACATGGTTCATGTTTCAGCTGAAATTATGGCAATATTTTCTCAACTGATTTAGATAAATAACAATATATTAGTTAAATAAGTGTTTAAAATTTATGTTGCTTTTTGAGACAGAAATACATTATTTAAAGGGCTGTGTATTTCCTTGAAAGAAAGAGCAACTCACACATTTACATAAATAATATGCTAATATTATTTATACAGATTGTCTCTCTACAAATAACTCATGACATATATTACAAATAATAGTGCAAAAAATATTTTTTCTTTTCCTTTTTTCCCCTTGTTCGTTCTCTTCCTCTCCACCCCCCATCCTCTCCATTTTTCACTTTCTTACTATGTATGGGCTATTATTTCCTGATTAATGCTGACTGAATTTACTATTCCTTCCCTTATATAGTCTTTAATGACAAGAATCACATAATTTTTCTTTCACAGTCTGAATGATGAAACCTTTCTAAATGTTTCACTAAACCTAGCTATTAAAATTATCATCTTCTAGCCCTTGCACAAATGACATTTTCCAAAAACTTGAGCACCAAGTTGTGACAAAACATAGTTATGGAAAATGAATGGAGAGAGGCCTACCTAGAAAAGATTGAGTCCAAATGAGTAAGTGACAGGACATTTTTTTCAAAGACTGTATGTATATGTATGTGTGTGTTTCAATACTCAATGAATCCTGACATGAGATGTCTCAGAAAATGCATTTATGAAACAGGCTCCCCACCTCCCGCCCACCATCCAAAATCTACAAACAATGAAATTTATTTCTGTGACATTTCCAAAAAGCTAGATTTATAAAAAAGAGCATTTCCCATAGACGCATTAACAATCAACTAAATCAATCAACTGATCAACAGTTGGAGAAAGTGCAAGCCCAGTTTAACCTTATCTAAGGAGGATTCTGTGACTGGGCATTTTTTTTTTTTTTTTGGCAACTTTGTAATTTCAATGAATTCACCTATTTGATGCGAGTTCTCCTTTTGAATGACTGGTTACTTCAGTCAAAATGAACAAACTTGCTGAAGGCAGAAATTAAACTGACACAAAAAGGAAATGCAGCCATCTTAAAAGTTGTCAACATAAACATTAATAAGCAAAAAATAAAATTTTATACTGAGGAGTGTAGACTAAGCTTGGATGTCTCTTGGGATCAAAGGCTCTATAGAAAGGTTGACTTGAGGAACAATGCCCACTGGAATCAGCCTTAACGCAGGTACTGGCAAACTCTGCTAAGGAATTTCAAATTCCATTATCGATCTAAGGCAAATGCATTTCAGATGCCCTTAAACAACTGCCATTTCTAGAATACCTGGTAGGAAAAGAAATGGTAACAGTCCACACTTTCTTGGGACTGTGCAGAACACACCTGATCCGACACCTTGTTTGTGTGGGGCTTTCCGTATCTCTTCTTGGCGTTCTGTGGAGTTTATCCATTCCTGGGTTTGTCGCTGCCACTCTAGGGAGGTTCTAGCTGGACAATCCAATGAGCTCTTTGTGTCTTCTAAGTTGGATGCATGTTGTCTCTCTAGAGAACTTCCTTTTCTCTCTGTTGAGTTTTCCACGTTACCAGCATGCTGGCTCGGGCCTATTTGCTGCCTTAAACCCTGACCTGGCGGGGGATCTGGTGGTGGTGGAAGATCTAAAAATTTTGAATAATGTTTAGAATGGACTAAAATTTAATGAAAAATACAGGTTTTAGTTCAAGCTGAAGAAAACCTTTGCCCTCATACAGGTATTACCCATACAAAAGAAATTTGGGGAAAATAAAAGTCAATTATTTATTTCCAAAACTCGTATTATTGATCTCTCTGCTGTCTTTTGGCCATAGCATCATTAAAACAAAATTGACTAGTTTTACTGAACAGTTAAAGAGTTTTCAGTGATATGCTGAGGATATCACTCAAGGTGTAAAGGGCAGTTCATGATTTATAGTCAATCCATTGTCCAACCCTCCTTCCCCAAAGTAGAAATACCATGACCCAAAATAAGATCACTAGAAATTCTAGAAGCTGTGCTAACAAAAGGCCCCAAGAACAAAAGCTCTCCTGCCAATCTCCATAGAAAATGTCACCCTCGGGAAATTTAGAACTATATGCCATGTCATATGCAACATATGACTGCCTTTACCCATGTATGTGTCACTTTTAGCAACATTAAAGTAATATTTATTAAATGCAATTAACATTCTGCTTGACAACCAATTCTGGCTGTTCGTTTCATGAGTTAGCTAATGAGTTACAACTAATATAATCTTCCAATGTATTAATTGTAATAAGTAATAACCAATGTTCAGAGTAAAGATTGGATGCGTTTTATGGTACTAGAACAGGCAATGCATCACAGAAATTTGAGATATGGTAGAAGAGATACTTTTTCAGAAAAGCTCTTTAAAGTAAATACCAGATAGCAAAAAATTTAAAGTTTCAATATCGACTAACTATTCATCTCTTTTTTATTAACTCTTCAGATCGTAATACTTTTAGAGTTTGTATGTCTTCGATTGTGAAATCACAGTCCTTTCTTTCACTTTTAAGTATGTATTATTAGTTCTGAAATTACTTTGCTGAAGATTTTGAAATCTTCTGAACATCAATTTGGATCATTTTCTTCTCATTTTTCTTGCATGCTATTGTAAACTTCTTTGTTCATCCTTAGAATATTTGTAATTACATTATTGTTCATAAAGACCAAATATCATATAAAATATACATTTATTACATGAATAGAGGATATTGTACGTAATGTAGTCAATTATTTCTGATGCCATTTTTGTAAATGTATTCTCTTGTTTCTAATAATATTGTTTGTGAAATTTAGAAGTAAAAAGTATAAATTTCTTGTACGCAAAAGATAGCTCCCTTAATAGACAGCTAAGCTGTCCCTTTCAAAGACTTTAAGAAGCTTTAGACTCTCTTTTATGAGCAAAATGATATTATCCACCACTGAACTGGTAATGTTGGTCTCTGACACATTTCTTCTGAGTTCCCAGTTGGAGCAGCATTGCCAGTTCTTACATTTGTCCTCATGTTAAATTATGAATTGCTTATACAGTAACTGAAGGGAACAGGGTCTCTGTCTGGGAGCATAAAGTTGGATTTGGAATATTTCTACCACAATGAAGAGCTAATCCAATATGGAGATATCTGTTTGTTGGATAATCCCATGAGTTTGGTGTTTCCTTCATATTCAATAGTACTGACTTCCTTCACTATATGTTATTATAAATGCAAATTAATTATTTCATTTGTTTTATTGAACTTAGACTGCCAGTGAAATTATTGTATTTGCTTCCAAAATAACTTATCTTGTCATTGATTTTTATTCTCCATCACAGAAGCTTAATTTTTAAAATGGCCAAGACAGCATCTGCTTATGCCAGCTAAAATTCTGATTACTATTTAATTTAACCTAAAATTATATAGCTTCATAATTAAGTAATATCTTTGGAGTTTGTATATTCTAAGAAAGGACATTGCATGCACATTGAAATAAACTAATTGGAAAAAGAAATGGGATTAAGAATGGTTTGAAAATAAATGTATGTAATCAAATACATTTACTTAAATTAAATTTATTATTCGTTTCTATGTTGATTCATTTCAACTAAATTAATTTACTAAACAGTCTCTTCCTGGCCTACTGAGCATCAGCTCTTTTCAGGCATACAACAGTCCAATTAGATAGGTGCCATTATTACCTTCCTTTCTTAGATAAGAAAATGAAGGCCCAAAGAAATTTAAAATCTCCAGCTTGGATCTTTCCTCCAATGAACGCCAGACTCATTAACCAGATCTACACTGGCCAGCTCCATTTAGGTGTTTAGAAAGCATCTCAGATTTCACGTATTAAAACTCGGCTCTAGATCATCCTATATAAAATATGCTTCCTCTGCAGTGTTTCTTCTCTTAATTGGTCACAGTTACATTCTACAAATTAGCCAAAATTTCAGAGTGATCTGGTTTCCTTTCTTTATGGTCTATGTTAATTTCGTAACAACTCCCATTAGCTCCACCTCCAAAATCCAACCTTTCTTAACACTTCCATTGATTCTCCCTTGGCACGAACCACCATCATCTATTCCCTAGGTAGCTTCTACAATCTCCACTTTGCCTCATTTAGCACATCTCAACACAGCAGCTAGAGTGACTTTTAAAAAATAAAAACGTAAATAAGATATGTCATTTCCCTGCCTTGAACACACACACGTGCATCCACACATGCAGACATACACACACACACACCCTCCAGGGGTCTCCCATTCAAAGTAAGAGCCAGTGTCATTTGGGTGGCTTAAAGGTCTAACAAACGCTACCCTCGTTAGCTGCTCTGACTTCATAGCCTACCCTGTTGCTGTCTCTGCTCCAGTCATATGGTTCCCTTCCTTTTCATCAGGTAAGTTCTCAGGCTTTCATTTGCCATTCTCATTTCCTGGAATGACCTTTCCTCAGGCATCAGCATTACTCTTTCGCTTATGTTATTCCAGTCTTTTCTCAAATGCTGCCTTCCTGGTGACGCCTTTCCTGATCACTTACTCAGAAATACTTCCTCCCTCCACCTACATTTCTCAACTCCCTTCCCTTTGTTTTTTCTCCAGAACAGTTGAAATCATCTTACTTATATTTTCATGTATGTACTTAGGCTGGTCTTTATCTATCTTCCCCAACTAGAATATAAAAAGTCAGGGGATTTTGTCAGTTTGGCTCCCATTGTCTATTATATGGTATATGCTTAATAAGTATTTGAATAAATAGATTAATGAATATGTAAATTTGCTCGAAGGCCAAAGCTACTATATGGCAGAGCTGACAAAGAGCTCCTTCTCTGAACAAGATATTAAGAACTAGGGGGACAGGGCCAGGCACTGTGGCTCATGCCTATAATCCCAGCACTTTGGGAGGTGAAGGTGGCCAGATAGCCTGAGGTCAGAAGTTTAAGACCAGCCTGGCCAACATGGTGAAATCCCATCTCTACTAAAAATACAAAATTTGCTGGGTGTGGTGGTGCATGCCTGTAATCCCAACTACTTGGGAGGCTAAGGTAGGGGAATTGCTTGAACCTGGGAGGCGGAAGCTGCAGTGAGCTAAGATTGCACCATTGCGTTCCAGCCTGGGTGACAGAAGCAAAACTCTCTCTCAAAAAAAAAAAAAAAAAAAAAAAAAAGGAGCTAGAGGGAAAGGAGAATAGGCTAGAAAGAAATTAATTATCTGGGGAAAACAGGGTACAGATCTATCTTCCTTATTTAGCATTGGTCAGTATATTGGCTTCCAAGGGTAATATTTGATTTATAAGACAAATGGAATACAAGATTTAGACTCCGCAATGCCTGCTTAAGAGAGACTATACAAAAGGGAGAAGAACATCTTCAACATGTGTGCGTTTTTTCAGTCTTTGGAATAGAGACTGACATTTCTCACCATTCATAATCTCCCTTATGGAAGACGGGGAAGGCTGCTTCCTCAGCCCAGTAGTTAGTTTGACACCATGTGGCAGAGTTGTTGCCAGTGTAATAGGAGAAGTGATGTGTGTCACCTGCCATTACAACCTCCCAACAACCACTCACGTTCTGTCTCCTCCTCAGAGACCATAAAGGTCTGATCTAGAAAACGGTGGTATCCCAGTACTGAAAAGGCCTACATCTTTACATTACAGCTTAGAAGAGAGCAAACGCTACTGTAAAATGTATGATGCACAAGATTTATTGTAAAATGTCTGTACACTCAATGCTGTTAAGCATTAGCCTTCCCAAAAATCAACTTGATTTGTACATAAAAATGCTATGAAATGATCATGACATATGGATCCATATCATATAAATGCTATGGCATATGCATTTGCTGCAAAATAACAAGGTTCTTAAGGATAATCTGTAGAGTGCCATCCAAAATAAATGTCTTTGCACTGTATCATAATTAAAATGCCTTTGGATTAAGCACTTGGGAAGATATGTGGGCTGAAATTTCCTTTGCAATATTACTACTTCTAATCATTTATAATTAGAATCACTTTCTAATAGCACATAATCCATAACCCGTTTTTGAAATGCTGGTAAATTTGAAAATTTAGAAACATTTATTTTTTAGAAAGATAAGCAATATATTGATCATACTTTAGGAGGTAGCTTGCTTTAAGCAAACATTCTAAAAAAGCTTGTAACAAATGTGTTTTAGGAAGAAACAGAGATCTCTGTTTTGATGATTTATATTTTATATCTTCCCCATATTCTGAATATTATCTTCAAACATTTCTGTAAAACCACAGAAAATTCTATACCAACATTTTTCTCTGTCCACAATATTCACAGCAGAAAAAGATATAGAAAATTATCAATTATTAGATTTGTAACTAGCATATCAGTGAAAGTATCCCTTTTTTATTTAGGAAGAATTAGATCAACACTAAGTGCTCAGTTAATCTTCTGAACATCTAAGGCAAAAAGGCAGTGGTGAGCATTTTTTACTCACCACAGGATATCCATTTATAGAAACCCAAAAATCTCAATTGTACCCTTAACCTTCAAATTCCATTGAAAACAAAGTAAGCAGAAAAGGTAAGTAAACCTGAAAGCATGTAGAACAAATACAATATTTGGCTTTTTAACTCTTCTTAGCTGTGTAAGATGACAAAAGACAGCACAAGCAGGGCTGTTGGATTGAACACTCCTTTCCCCAAATTAATAAAAAATAAATGTGTTTCTTCTTTTCCAGTTAAGCTTCATTCTGTTCTGTGATGATAAGTGTAAGTGTGCTAAGGACTAGGTCATAGCTTCGCCGAGATAGTTACACTTTAGATTCACTAGTGGAGTTTTAAAATTACGCATAACTGGGTTTCACCCCAGAATAATTAAGTCTGAGTATCCAGGGTATATTTTAAGTGCTCCCCAGATGGTTCTAATGTTCAGCTTTTAAAAATTTATCCTTTTGGTGTTTAACTGAACTATGTTAGGATAATGTTTGTGTGTGTATAGGGTATGGTGCTGAGAAGGAAAAATAAATTTATCTCTCAATCTGACATTGTACTAGACACTTCAAATATGTGTTACATATCCTTAGAATATAACTTTAGGCTCTATCTTTTAATTCGTGCTTTAAAATAAATAAGAATTAAGTTTAAAATATGGGAAATAGACTATCTTTTGTAAAGCTATTTAAATACTCATTGAACATGGGTATCTTTCAATAACATTGTGTTTCCTGAAACTAGTAGTATTTAAGCAAATATTCAAATAATGGATGCTAAATATAAACAGAAAGATTGAGACAGCTCAGCAAACCATGGCCATTGGCCAAATCCGGCCACTGCCCATTATGTGAATGATGTTTGATTGGAAATCAGTCATATCCATTATTCTACTTTTCTTATAGCTGCACTCATGCAATAATGACAGTGTTCAATGGTTGTGACAGAGACCATATGTCCCAAAAGCCAAAATATTTACTATCTAGATTTTAATAGAAATTTGCTGACCCTTTGCTAGGGTCTGGATGTTTGTGTACCCCAAAAATTCATATGTTAAAATCCTAACCTCCAATGTGATGATATCTGGAGTTGCGGCCTTTGACAGTTGATTAGGTGATGAGGGTGGAGTCCTCATAAAGGGATGAGTGCCTTATAAAACACATCCCAATGAGAATCTTCTGCCTTCCACTATGTGGCATACAGTGAAAAAAGCACCCTCTATGAACCAGAAAGTGGATCCCCATCAGATACCAAATCTGCCAGTGCCTTGACTTGGACTTGGCAGACTCCAGAATTGCGGAGAAAGTTTCTGTTGTTTGGAACATACCAGCTTATGGTACAGTCACGTGTCACTTAATAATGGAGATAAGTTCTGAGAAATATAGTGTTTGGCAATTTCATTGTTAAGCAGGTGTCATAGAGTGTATTTACATAAGCCTAGATGGCATAGTTGACTACATAGCATTGCTCTGGGCTAAAAATCAGTACAGCATGTCTGTTATAACACAATGGTATTTTCTGTATTTAAACAAAAAAGGTAGCATAAGTACAGTATTACAACCTTATGGGACCACTGTCTTATATACAGTCTGTCATTGACTGAAACATTGGCCTGCAATGCATGACTCTATTTTTTATAGCAGCCCAAACAGACTAAGATACTCTTCAACTACATGACCTGTAGCCTGATATTGGCTCTGAAATTTGAGACTAAAAACTTACTGACTTATTTCAAAGTCTTTTATTTCCAAAGTGAAATACGAGCTAAGATATTAAAATTTAGTATTATAAAAGTTCTGATAATATAAGTGCACATGCAGCTTTCCTACTCTTAAATTAAATGTTCACTAAAAAGTATTAATGAAAGATGCCAGAATGGCAAAAAAAAAAAAAAAAATTCAGTGTCTGAAAAATTGTATGGCATATATTTCTTGAGATTTAATAATATGGAATAATTCTAGATTGTTTTAAAAAGTCATGTTTTATATAAACAAGACCATATTGCCAGGTTTCTGCCTTGTTGTGTAATGAGGCAATGGCTAATCTACCATGATGACATTAATCGACATCAATGATTGTGGGGAGCACATCTCTTCAGTGAGGAAAACAAGAGCAAAGGAAAGAAACCTACCATCTGTCATTCCTTCTCTCCGATGAGGCAATGCTGGTTGTTGGTCCATCCGCCCTCCCTTGTGTTTTTTAGTGGGCCGAGGCCTCTGACTTTGACTCAGGGCTGCACTGGTATTACTGTCAGTAGAAAATGGGCTGGCAGGTCGAGGTCTTTGAGAGGAGGTGAAGGCTTTTCCTAAATTGAAAACAGAGGGAATGGGGTATAGGGAATGTCATTATAGTATACTGATTCTGTCTTGTATTTCAGTTCTAAGACTAACTTGTAAATCTACCTAGAGATAACATTTGAAGATACCAAATATTGGTGCATCTCTGTAGAAAAATATATTTTCTACATTTTCAGCTGCATTATTTTGTTCGATTCTAATAAGCTAACAACACCCACACTGAACCCCCAAAATCAAACAAGTAAACATAAAACAGATCCAGCAATCCAAAACTCAATATTGCATGATTATATTTTTATTTAACCTTGACAATATTAGTGATACTTTCATAGATATATGCAAATTCATGCAGCTTTTAGTTCTTAAAATTAAAGAAACTATATATGAAATAAAATATATATTGTTTTATTTTTTTAATAGAATTTTACCCTTGGAAACTTACAAAATTTCTCTGAACACAGACAAATGTCATATAGTAATTACATCTGAAATTTTACATGAAAGGTCTGCTCAGACACATATATTAAATTGACCTTACCACTTATGCACATACACAATGAATTCTATCTCTTTTGGCAGAAACTCAATAACATCTGTGTAGAGGATAACAGGTTAAAATCACCTTGTATATCCAGCATGCAATATGTGTTTTCTGATGAATATTATTGTATCTGAGCAGGCTCCAAATTCTCATTGAAAAATGAAATGTGCTGTGTCCTTTTCTTATGGTTTAGAATAGGTATTCAGCGAAATTTATTCTGGGAAAAGGTTAGCTAATAAATTTTCAACAACTTGTGATTTTAATGCCTTGTTTATTTTAGTAACAGAGGCCTGGTTTATGTACATGTATTTATTTTCCTGTGTATGCTTTCATTTCCTACAACATTATTGTATGTAGTTACATTTTCTTAAGTCAATGTGACATGATATTACTTAATGCTTTATTAGCTATTAGCATACATGCAAGAAATGCACTTAGGCCTTCCAATGTATTAGTTTCCTTGCACGTTCTCACTGTTCTGCTTACAGCTGATGCCACAAAAAGCATTCAGGCAACATAAAGTTTCGGACTTACGCCTTATAATGCAAGACAATTCAAATAACAGTTCTATTGCAACATATTTTAGTTTGGATGCTATTTGAAAAATAAACCTCTGCAATGCTTAGAAGATCTTACTTATTTCATTTAAATATATCTAATGTATGCTCAAAGAAATATTGATGATGTAATTCCAAGAAAACTCCCAATACTCATTTGTATAATCTGAGAATTTAGTGAATGGTAAAAATCATTTTTCTTTTCTGTGTGAATACAGTTAAGATTTTGCAAATGTACTTAGTATTTTATTAGTTTGTTTTGCAAGGTAGTTCAGTTTAATTCATGTCTTAGAATATTCCTATTTGTAGTTAAGAATTATATATACAAATATTAAAGCACGCATCACGCCAAAGTTACTTTGTTTCAAATGTTTACAAATTACTGATCTATTATTAATTCCACATGCTTTTTTTTTGTGAAATGAGCAGCACATGAAAAATGATACAATTGTTCTTTTATATGATTACTTATCACTCTCAGAAATCAAAATTACTCTAAAGAGAAATACACTTGTCATTATTTTATTCAACTTGCACATGCAGTGGGTTTATCTTTAATTAGCATCCTTTAAAACAAATAAAAAATTATTGTATTAAAATCTTAATAGCCAAACAATTAATAAGACCATAAGCCATTTGAACTGTTAAGACCGACAGTCTTAGACCCATTCACCCCATGCTAAGGAAGCCTTCCCAGAAAATGTATTTGCAGAAACAGGTGGGGCAAAGGAAAGTAATGGAGATCAAAGCTGAGTAATTTTAATCACTGGGTACATGATTAATTGTGTGAGGACTTCGCAAAGTGTGAGTTATTGAAAATTTAATGGCAATCTTAGTTGCTGCTTTGCCATAATATAAAAAGGAAGCATATTCCAATTAATCAGCAAAGCCATGAAGAGAAAGGAAAATAACGGATAGAAGTTGGTGAGGAGGAGACTATTCTTGCCCCTGCAAAACTAGCATCAGAAGAGAGTTTTGGTAATGGAGCATCCAAATTGTGTTCATGCATATTAAAGAAAGCCCTACCGTCAGTCTCACGAAGGAGAAAGAACAGGAGAAAAGAGGTCAGTGTCCAAGGACAAGATTCTCTCATGCAAAGAGTGTTGACTTGGAGTCTACCAACCTGTTCTTGTAAGGCTGGTTCCATCCAGCCTAAAACCAGCTTTATCTGCTGCTGCCACCAGTGCTTGTGCAAAACTGCCGCTGGCAAAGATAGAGCCATCTGACGAGCTACCTACACTAGATCTATGACTAGAAAAGTTACGATCCTCATCAGATGCAGAGCCCCATCCATTTACCATTGAACCTAAAAACAAATGTAGTTGTCTAGTGAGTTGTATATATTGAACATCTCATCTGCTTGCACACACTATACTAATGAGCAAGTAGGCTGTCCTTGCTTCTTCCTTGAAGCTTCATCAAGATTTCTTTAGCTAAATGCAAGTATCATTTGCATTTTAAACATTTTTAGTGCAGAAGAATGAAGCTTATTTAAAACCTGTATCAGCTTGCAGCACATGAGCAAAGCATGTTCTGTATTGTTCAGCTCTTACACTGTTTAAATTATTACACAATCATTTTCCAAAAGAGAATCGCAATGTGTATTTTAAGCTACTGTAATTCAGAAATGAACACTTTAATTAAAACAAGCAGTGTACTTAAACTTATCAAAGACTCAGTTGAAGAAATAGTGTGAATATATTATGAGTTTAATTCAGACTCCAATGATAATCTGCATAGAAACTACACTGTATCCCATAAAAAGGCAAAAAATTTTTAAGATTTCCAAATACAAACTTAATTATAAATAAAAACAAAAATTCACAAGAAATGTACAAACAATACCACAAATGAACTTAGAAAATAAGAAAAAATGTATTTTAAAGAATTTCTATTAATTTAAATGTTCTTTATCCTTTCTTCGCCTTTTAAGTTACTTAGGAACTCGTTTTCTCTTTAGTACTAATATTTATATTAAAAAGTAACATTTATAAGGACTATAATCAACATTAATATGAAGTTCTTTTCTGCAAAATGCAACATGGCAATAAAGGAAAATAATTTTAGTTTTATGTTTAAAGAGCTGTAAGTTGTAAAGATACTCAACTATTTTTTTCTTAATTTTCTAGCAAGTCATTTACAATTTTATGTCTTTTCTTAGACAAAAACACACTGAGAACGTAATCTACTACTTAATAAAATTAATATTACAAGATTTATTTATGTTGGTATACCATTAATTCGAGACACAAAAAGCTACCAAGTATTGCTTATCCTAAATTTGTTAGAAGAGGGGTAAAAGTATTTGTAAGAAACTAATTTAAGATTTCTAAATAAACAAAATATGTATTTACATAAAAGAGATGAAAGTCAAATGCTATCGACTGTTTAATTTTTTTCTCCAATATTTTAGAGACAAGAGAATAGTTAGGAGTGCTGCCATGATGCAGTATTTGTATTTTAGTCAAGGGGCCAGGATACAACGACATGGATTCATGCACTTTCAATACAGAAAAAACAGAAGCTGAACTGGTTAGAATGATCTGAGAAGTTAAAAGGGTGTTAAGTGTAGCAAAGAAAGATAGAGTTTTGATTCTGATTGCCAAAAGCACAGAGATACACTTTTTACTTTCCAAACAAATTCCCTTGACACGGGCCACTGCAAGGAAGCTGAGATAACACCAGTAACTGAGCCTCATCTAAGAGAATCACTTCTGGGTTAATAACCACAAGTCAAGGACCAACAATCCAAAATGGAAGAAGAAATGATGCAGTAGGCTTTGCAATATAATGCTACACTAGATAAGAAAAAAAAAATCAAAGCAATTTAGGGAGGGAGGCACAAAAGAATATGAAACTCTAGAACTGCAGATAGTTTTAAAACATTTGAAAGCTCACTCCTAGTCTCTTCCCTGTGCTGTTTTCTGTATTTCTAAATGCCTGCTCATACTTTCCAAGCAAGCATCTCTTCATCTTCACTTTGTTTCATTCCTAAACTCCGCTTACCTGATTTCTTTCCAGTCTTTTCCATCTTCCTCATTGCTTTCTACATTATCTTTGTGAAGTACTTACACACACATGCTCCTCTGTGTAAAGGCTTACCTAGCTGGCCAATGCCATATTCAAACTTCTAATTAAATATTTGCAACTCTTCAGTGTCTAGCCTAGCCTACTGATATGATTTGGCTCTGTTTGCCCACCCAAACTCCTCTTGAATAGTAATCACCATGTGTTGAGTGGGGTACTTCGTGGGGGGTGATTAGACAATGGCGACAGTTTTCCTTAGGCTGTTCTCATGATGGTTAGGGAATTCTCACAAAAATGGTTGATCGATAAGTTCTGGCATTTCCCCTGCTCTCTCCTCTCTCTCTCTCGCTATCTCTCTCTCGTCACCATGTAAGACATGCTTTGCTTTCCCTTTGCCTCCTGCCATGATTGTAAGTTTCCTGAGGCTCTCCAGCCATGTGGAAAGGTGAGTCAATTAAACCTCTTTTGTTTATAAATTACCCAGTCTCAGGTAATATCTTTATAGCAGTGTGAAAACGGACTCATACACCTGCTGCGTATTAGTCCTCATTCACTCTTACAGCCTGTGTGTCTCCCCGCCTCACTTGTATAACACCATTTTCATTCTTCGGACAGAGATATTGCCACTAACACTATTAACCACTGCCAAACTTTAAAGTCTAAATTAAATGCCATTTCTTTAATCACCTTAATTCTACCCTATTGTAGGGAGAATCAATCTCTTTACCTCCTTTGGTTTCCAAACACTAAACATAAACTCCCATATCATTTCTCTCTATATATTATGCTCTGCTGCACATGCATTTCCTCTCCTGGACAATGGAATTCTGGAGATTCGGAATTATTTCATGTTTATTTTCATATTTCTTGTCTAGGGACATGGTACATTAGAAATTCAATAAACAATAGACATATGGAACTAAATGCATTCAACATTTTCATTGTAGATGTAGAAAAACATATCAAATGTGACACATCTATACTTTTTGATGTGTAATTTCTTAGCAATGTCCTTATTTTAGCTATAGAAAAAAATTTCTCATAAGAACTCTGAGAAAGTTTATTAAATAAGGAATATGACACTAGTTAACTGTTGTTGGTTACTCAATCATCGAAAATGTAATCATCCAAAGTGAGAATATAAAAAATTATGTGTATATTACATATATATGTTACATATGTGTGTTGTGTATGTGTGAATTGATTATGCTTTGATACACTTGAATATTGATATTTAGCAATCTCTTATTCAAATTAAGATAAAGAATTTACATTAAGTGGTAACTTAGTTTCCTTGGAATGTAACTTTTCCATCCACATTTATCCATTATAATCTACTTGGCCCAATGATTTGTTTTCTAAAATTTTTCTTTTTCCACTATAACAACCTAAAAATAGTTGAGTTTCTTCGGTTTCATATCTATATCTGCTTGCTGTGTGTTTCCAGCCTAAGGATATAGCATAGTGACAAATTTAGTCTCTGAACCTATAAAGCTGCCTGTTGTGTAGCTGTTGAGAGGGGAAATCAGTAAATCTTACACCACAGTAGTATCACTAAAGAAATGATATCCACTGAAACTGCTAGCAGAGAATCAGCTTAATTTTCACCCTCAAATAACCCTTTTACGTCCCTGTGGTAACTTGCAAGTCCTTCATCCGAGGATTTCCACACACACACACTTGTGATACTCTAAACAAATGGATTACTTCCTGCCTTTGTGGCTTTGCTCTGCCTTTCCTCCAGGCTTTAATGCTCCTTGTATGTTGTTAAAACTCCCAATTGTTCATGAAGCTTTCCCCGATGCTTTTTTTCTCCCTCTGGGAAGAGACCGTAACACGGAAGACAGGGTTTCAAGAGAGTATTAGTAAATACAGAAAGAACATCAACTATTCTTTCTTTTGTATTTGTTGTAAGAGCAAAGAGACGAGATAGACGACATAAGAATTAAAGATACGTGGCCACAGATATTTGGCCATATTGGGAGACAGGAAACTAACGACCCAATCTGAAAAGAGGGAAGTATCTCATGTTATTGTATTTGTGTTTGCCTTCAAAACGGAGGGCAAGGAACATGCAGAGAAATTTTCTCTCTCCTTCTCTTTGTCTCTCTTCCTCTCTGTCTTGTATCTTTGACATCTCTTCCTCTATAGTTGGGTTAAGATGTATGAAATGGATATAGTTATGATAAATTTTTAAAAAGACATTTGGTTACATTCCATGAATCAAATAGTTTATAATATATTAAAATTCCTTCTGTAAAATGGCTACAATGTATTTAACATCTACTGATTATACCTCTTAGTGGCCTTCCTGAAAAAAAGGAAAAATGTTGAGATTTAAACATCAACAGTGAGCTGGATTTAGGTAAACAGTTACCGTCCCAACACACATACAAAAAGAGAGAGAAGTCAAAGATAATGAATAAAAGAAAAGAAAAACATTAATTCACAAATTTAAAAGTAAGTCATCTTTGTGATAACTGGTTTTCTTTCATAAACATAAGCATAAACATGAAAATTAAAATGAACACCAGGTAAAACCAATTTAGCTAGATGTTCCTTACAAAATATAAGCACTCTATACCAATTTGACATGTTATAGCCCCAACATAATCAATACATATTTAAACATTTAATGAGAAATGAATTTATGTCAGACAGCCAAATTTATTTGTTTGCATTTTCAATCTTTCCAAATTTCCCTGATTTAAATTGCCAAAAGGCCAAAAAAAATCTCAAATTTATTCAAGCTGTTAAAGTAGTACTACATATACAACGTTAAGTTGCTGCTGAAATGTTACCGAGCAGTAAAATACCAAGATAAAGTGGCATCTTGCTGTGTCTCTATTACATCTTCAGCACTAAAATTAATTTATGATCAGTCATCAATTCATTTACATGTCGTTTTATGCTAAATCCTTCCTTGCTGATAAATGCTTACCCTTAGATCCATTAAGCTAGAGTAAAGTCTGTGCTTTATAATATGACCCTGCTAATTGTTGCATTTCCATTTTTATGAGATTCAAAAACTGGCCATTAACCATTTTTGCAGCCAATATTTAATCTATGAACTCTTCTTATTAAATGTTATTTGTCTACCTGTTAGTAAAATGTGCAGCTACCAATGTCTTTAGACAAACGAATGCAAATATTGACCTTTGTCTAGATGTAGAAAAACATGTCAAATCTGCAGAAGTTCTTTTTTGACTCAAACATATTGAATATGCAATGATTCCACCTGCATTCCTCAGAGAGAAAGAAATGTATAATCCTCTGTAATTCCAACACTTTGGGAAGGTGAAGTGGGCTTGAGACAAGCCTGGCCAACATGGTGAAACCCCATCTCTACTAAAAATGCAAAAAAATTAGCCCAGCATGGTAGCCCGGGCCTGTAGCCACTCAGAAGGCTAAGGCAGGAGAATTGCTTAAACCTGGGAGGTGGAGATTGCAGTGAACCAAGATTGTGCTACTGCACTCCAGCCTGGGTGACAGAGAGAGACTGTCTCAAAAAAACCAAAATGACAAAAACAAAAGAAGAAATAAAGAAAGAAAGAAAGAAAGAGAAAGAGAGAAAGAAAGCAGAAAGAAAGAAAGAAAAAGAAAGAAAGAAAGAAAGAAAGAGAAAGAAAGAAAGAAAGAAAGAAAGAAAGAAAGAAAGAAAGAAAGAAAGAAAGAAAGAAAGAAAGAAAGAAAGAAAGAAAGAAGGGAAGGAAGGAAGGAAGGAAGGAATCGGTTTTGTAGAAAAACAAAGTTACAGGTCAAATTTTTCAGTGGCAGAGGCTCTAAAAACTGTGTGGTAGAGTCAGACGGTGAGTTTTCATACTGATTTGGTGTGGGAGTTCCAGCACAAATTTCCAAAAACGTAACATAGATACTATAGAGCCATGACTTCCTTTCAGCTGTGATATTCATGTGGGGCCCAGCAGTCAAGGAAACTTTTATTTGTTTCACTTGACAGCACACAAGCTCTGTATTCCTTTTTGTGGTCACTGAGGCAGTTAGAATCTTTGCTACGCGTTGAGGACATTTTCCTGGTGCACTCTCTCCTACTGCCTTCTGTTTCTTTTTTCCTGGTGGTGTCGTTAAATTCAGGAAACAAGTACCCTTGACTCTTACCATGGAAGTTACAGAAAGAAGTATTATAGCCTTCTCCCTCCCTGTTACCCAGTAGTTTGGCATTTAGAAAGAAAAAATTCAGGCATATTCCTCAAGACAGAAACAAGACTTCACGTTTACTTTCTAGCCCAAACAGAGTGGAATGAGCAGTAATAAATACATATTTTATATTTTATTACAATCAAATAGGTGTGCATTATGAGCATAGATTAAAATGAAAATTATTAAAATGAGATTCATTGCAAAAAGTGCGAATAGAGTTGAATTTTGTTAGCATCGGTCACTATAAAGAAGCATAGAACTGAAAGTAAAAAAAAAAATGAATAACGAATGTCACATATAAAAATTAATATCTTGCTCTTGATTAAATGCATAAGAAAAAAAGGACTTATGACTCTAGAGAGAAAATTATATGTTGTGCTTGTATATATAGGTCTTTATGTGTGTTTATATACACACCCACTCAGATCCACATATTAAGCAACAAACCAGCTTACTATTCTCCTCTTCAATATACCTTCTGCACAGCTTAGAAGAAAGCTGTGTGTTTCCAGAGCACGGATCATGATAATTTGTCTTTAGAGTGAGACTGATTGTTTTTGAACATTCTTCTTCCACTTACCAGGTGACTAACATGGAAAAAGGATTTAAACTCCTCTGTGACTCAAGTTTTAATCTATTAAATGAAAATTTACTATTAATAGGGTTGTGAGGATCAAATGAATTAATATACATAAAACTTTATAATAATGAACAGTAAACTTTTTCTGTAGAACGACAGATACTAAATATTTTAAGCTTTGCTGTCTCTGTCATACATTCTTCTTAGTTTCTGTTTGTTTGTTAGTTAGTTTCTGGTTTTCCTATAAATAACACTTTCAAAAATGTGAAAAACCATTCTTAGCTCATGGGGCCACACAAAATACAGGCTACTGCTTAGAAAGATCCCTTGCATCTTTTAAAAGTTATCTATTTGTTAAGAGAAAGATGCTTTGCACTTATTAAAGGTTATATATGTTACCTATTATTATTATTGAATCTAAAATTTTAGCCAAGTGATTACAAGTAACAGGTATTCAATAGGTGTTTGTTGTAGAAAGAAATAATACAACAGACCTGCAAATACATGTTATCCAGTACTGAGATCATTCCTGGGATATGGAACTGCTGATGTTTTCCTCTTTTTTTTTTTTTTTTAGCCTTTTTCCATTCACAGACCATCATTTCAAAATTTAAGAACTCTGTCCCAAATCAGTTGTTATAAAAACTTTTGTAGTTAACATGCTTATTTCTTTACAAAAATGGGCTCTATCCCTGGTTAACTGCTGATACTTTCTAATGTGACAGCTGTGAAGGGCAATATATCCAAGTAAAATCCTGTGTAATTTTATATACAGACTTATTAGCCCATCCCAATATTGCAATTGAAATAACATTCTGATTGGCTTCAGAGTTTCAGGGACTGGAACTATGTAATAAAATGGTCATTAGTTTCATGAAAGGGTAACTAACACAATTTCAGGAGAAGGTAATAACTGATTTACTCATGCCACAAACATGTTCAGAGCCCAAAGTAGCTGGTGATATGATCCGCATCCTCTGTATGGGCACTTACCATGTTAAAAACATAAAAAGCCCATAGAAATAATGCCTGTTTGTTTGTTTGCCTCATTTAGCGCCATTAAACTAGCCTGAGTGTCTGAGGAAAATATAAGCATGTTAGAACAACGTTCATTGGCATGTTGATTTCTCTAATATTCAGTCTCTATGCACATCCACCTCAGGGTTATTCTCACATATGTCTGTATGCATGCATGAACACACACTATAATACACTTATAATCGTATCTACACTCTCACACATTTATACATGCACACACTCCCTACACAAGCACCCACACCCACATTCTAATACACTCACACACCTTACACACGCACACACACTCACACACACACACACACACTTATAAGCACTTACTCACGTACCCTAGAAAGCAAATTAAATCTTTGGTCACATCTTCTCCACAAAGTTGTTGTGAAAGAGAAAGAAAAAGAAAAGTGGGTTTGTATTTGGCTACTTTTGTGTAAAGAATAACTTTTTACTAAAGAGATGTAATATTCATAGGATAAGCTCATCATGGAATACAAACCTAAACACCCTGAGGTTTTTATATATAGCAGTAATTAAGCAGTGAATTCAAGGAGGAAACCAGACTTTGTTTTCTTAGCAATAAAAGCTTCATTTGGAAGGAGCATTACACTAACTACAGGAGAAATGCAGATTGCTGGAGGTGCAGGCACATCAAGCAGTCTAACATGTTATAGGTGAGCATGTAGCAGTGCAAAATGGCATTCTCCTGAATTATAGACATATTTATCTCTTTGACATTATAATATTTAATAAAAGAACTACACAGACTATAGCTGACTTTCTTCATCATTATTGCAATTTGTTACTGCATTCCTAATGGAAGGGAGTTCAGTATCATTAGTGAAATATGCAAAAATATGCAGAATTTTTACCCTGAAGGAGATTATGCTGGAAATTCAGGCAAAGGGGCTTAATATAATAGTGCACTAATAAGTCAGCTCTCTGCATTTGAAGATTTTAACTTGTGCTCTATCACCTTTGGTTGGATCTGGGTTTCAAATCACAGCAGTGTATCTGCAGTTATTAAATCTTAATTAAGCTGGCAAGCAGACCAGCCCCCGGGTAAGAAGGAAAACTGAAAAATGGGCTCATGCATCACACACTGTGTAATTCAGGGAGGAATGCAGAGGAAAATCACAGGCACTGATGCTGCTTTATCACTGTCATAAACCAATTTCCATCAGCGTTTGCAGAACTCTCACACACTGTGTAACTCTGAGAAAGTTTGGAAGCTGTTGGCATAAAAAATGAATTAAGTGGGATTGTGATAAAATACCTCCTAGGATGAAAGATGTCATCACGGTAAATACAGATATGAGCAGTCTTCTGAGAAAACCCAATGAGATGCAGAGACCAGACTTCAGTTTGTAGTAGCTGTGTCTACACAGTGATGTAAAAGACATTTGTGTGTGTGTGTGTGTCCAACAATGTGTATCTATTTGAACAGCAAGACTGAATCTTTACTTTTCTCCATTTTCGCTGATTCCATATTATGATTTAAAGTTTTCTTTAAAAATCCTTGAAAATCGGTTATGTCTCTGTCCTGGGATCATCAGAGAAGAGTACCAGTGGAAGTCTTTCATTTGGTGAACAAGGCAAGAGGAAGCCAAAGAAATAAACACAAAAAATAACTGCATTTCTTGGAAGAGAAGCATTTGCTAGATTCAGCAATGTGAAATGCATAAACATATGGCTTATCTCACTATACATTTTCTTCACTCTAAAAATAATTCCTTGTACAACCTTAAAGTGGCTTATTCAGGAGACTTGTTTACTTTCCATCAGTGAATGATTTTACAGAGTGAAATATCAAGAAGCATTTTAAGATTGCATTCATTTTGTATGTTGTTCTTGATATTAAAAAAAAAAGATCATTTCTAAAAGTCAAGGTTTTTAATGTAATAGACTTGGTTTCCTAGTAGAGTGAACTTCTCATGAAAGCCCTAGATATAATTGAGTTTTCTTACACGTCTTTAAAACCTTTTAAAATTCATGAATTTTCTTATCATTTTTGCAGCAAAGCAAAAGTATTTCGAAACCCTTTTTGATTTCGTATTTAATATTAACATATTTAAAATGTTACAGAAATAGATGGAGTGGAATAAATCTTACAATAAGGAAGTACTTGATTTTTGATGCATTTTTATGTTACCAATAGGTCAGTTATTCCTATTAAATTGGTTCCATTACCTGTCACAGAGCTGTCTAGATTGTCCATACTGGACCCAGGTGTCTGGTCCAGTGCTCTCAGGGGCCTGGGAATTTCTAAAGCTTCCTCTTCATCATCAGCATCATCATCTGGAACATCCGTTTCCAAATCAGAAATCAAGGCTCCGGACACATAACCTAACGGTGGAACCGGAGGCTGTGGAGGTTGATTATTGCTTTGAATGTGCCTAGAATTCAAATGAAATTTTAAAAAGAAAAGCAATTCATTAACATGAGACAAAATTATAATTTGAATTAAATGCATGCTATACTAACTCATATTGTCTTTTTCCTTTCCATTAACTAATTTTGGAGCTCACAATGCTTTCAGCAGAGACAATGGCTATGAATATGAGCCTCACCAAAAAAAGTACAACATAGACCCTTAAACTCTTCACTTGGTATTTATAGGATAATACATGGAGAAAAAAAATACGGACCCAGTATTTCTGTGAAAATAAGTCATCTATAGGAGAATAGGAATATTCATCATAAGTAACTATTTAAAGTTGATATTTTTCTCCAAAAAGACTATACTTTTGTTCCCAGTTTAGTGTCAAAATTCTACTCAGTCTGTGTAACCCATGCTGCCTGCTGGCCCTTATGAAGGAAAGATGTCCCATGAGGACCTAATATCCACTACCTCCCAACCCTGAACACATTTCCTTCCCTAGAAGGCTTCCTCCCTGCACTACCCCTCTCACTTCAAGGCTGGAGGTCATTTCCACTTTCCAGTTTAGGGTAGGCACAACTAATCTGTGCTCTAATACGTGTCACCCACCAAAGTCTTAAACTCCTCAAAGGCATAAACAAATCACCTAAGCATTCTCTGTGTCTAGAACACTAGTGTGCTAAATAAACCTTCTGCGATGAATAATAAATTCTCATCTCAACTTTATGAAAAAAATAGATCATGCATTATCAACCATTTTGTATTTATTTATTTATTTAATTTTTTTGAGAGACAGGATCTTGTACCATCGCCCAGGTTGGAGTGCAGTCATGCAATCATGGCTCACTACAGCCCTTCCCCCTGGGCTCAAGTGATCCTCCTCCCTCAGCCTCCCAAGTGGCTGGCATTACAGATATGCCTCACCATGCCCAGCTAGTGTTGTGGAGTGGGAATCTCACTATGTTGTCTAGGCTAATCTGAAACTCCTGGGTTTAAGCAAGGGTCCTGCCTTAGCCTCCCAAAGTGCTGGGATCACAGGCATGAGCCATGATGCTTGGCCCAACCTTCTTTAGAATTTATCAAATTGAAGGTCAAATTTAAGTGACTTGTTTCAAACCAGGTAGCTAACAAAGTGTGAAGCTGGGCAGTAGGGCCCAGCTGATTTTGCTTTGGGTTTACTCAGATTTTCTTCTAAACCATAAAATGCTAAATGAAATCAATTCATTGTTATTTGTTACCAGTATTAAAAAGTGAATGTACTACAGGTTTTACCATATTAAGTATTTTCTTTGCCTTCATAAAAAAGCATTTAAAAGGCCATGCTATATAAGGAAGATATTAAAAAGTACTACGCATTCTTATTGTTGGCTCTTGAATGAAGGACATGAGATTATTTTGCTTTATCATTTGCATTCCTTGGGGAAAATATTTCATTCTTCCCAAATTTGTTTAATATTTCTCTCCTAACTGGACTCTTCAACTTGTAATCAACTCCAATGTTAACAGAATTTTAGATATTTCAATATTAAAAGAAAATTCTGCCCATCTGGCAAGGGGCTGATATCCAGAATTTACAAAGAACTAAAACAGATTTACAAGAAAAAAACTAACAAGCCCATTCAAAAGTGGGCAAAGGATATGAACAGACACTTTACAAAAGAAGACATACATGAGGCCAAACATATGAAAAAATGCTCATCATCACTGGTCATCAGAGAAATGCAAATCAAAACTACATTGAGATACCATCTCACGCCAGTTAGAATGGCGATCATTAAAAAATCTGGAGACAACAGATGCTGGAGAGGATGTGGAGAAATAGGAACACTTTTACACCGTTGGTGGGAGTGTAAATTAGTTTAACCATTGTGGAAGACAGTATGGCGATTCCTCAAGGACCTAGAAATAGAAATTCCATTTCACTCAGCAATCCCATTAGTGGGTATATACCCAAAGGATTATAAATCATTCTACTATAAGGACACGTGCACACGAATGTTCATTGCAGCACTGTTTACAATAGCAAAGACCTGGAATGCCCATCGATGATAGACTGGACAGGGAAAATGTGGCACATATACACCATGGAATATTATGCCGCCATCAAAAACGATGAGTTTGTGTCCTTTGTAGGGACATGGATGAACCTGGAAACCATCATTCTCAGCAAATTGACACAAGAGCAGAAAATCAAACACCACATGTTCTTACTCATAGGCGGGTGTTGAACAATGAGAACACATGGACACAGGGAGGGGAGCATCACACACTGGGGTCTGTTGGGGGGAAATAGGGGAGGGGCAGCGGGGGGAGGGGAGTTGGGGAGAGAGAGCATGGGGAGAAGAGCTAGGTGTGGGTGATGGAGAGGAAGGCAGCAGATCACACTGCCACGTGTATGCATATGCAACAATCTTGCATGTTCTTCACATGTACCCCAAAACCTAAAATGCAATAAAATAAATTTTTTAAAAATACAAAAAAAAAGAAAGAAAATTCTAATTCTTAAAGCCACCTCAATATCATGAGACCACAGTCTTTAATTTTTAGTAGATCAGAAAGCTGAGGCCCCAAGTTAGTATGTGGCATTCATCACAGCCTGCTAGTCGAAAGATCAGAAGAAATAGCAAGTTTCCTAAGTATTACTACAGAAAACCTTGAGGGTAGATGAGCACATCTTGCTATAAGTGTTGCCTCAAATCTGCTTATGAATTGGGAATGGAGACAACTAAGGGATGAGCAAGAGGCTATAGGGCAATGTGATTCATTCTCCCATAATGATGTGGACTTTGGTCCTGGGAGGGATGGATCAGACCAACACTCTGGTCCTACATCACTGTTGACACCTCTTAATAGAACAAATATATCTTGAGGGATTAAAAAAGTACTCCTCTTTAAGGAAAATTAAGAGACAAGTTGAAATATTGGAAGAGGATACATAACATTTATAAATATCTTCTAGTGACAGGCACTGTGCTGTGTACTTAATGAATCCATAGAAACAAATCCTGGGAGGTGGAGCCTGGGAATTATTATCTGTGAACAGTCCTCCTAAGATGTCAACGTGCAACCCAGATAGAGATTCACTTCCAAACCAGAAGCACACAGTCTCATAACCCCCACATGTGGAGTCAGCCAGGGCATTCTGAAAGATTGCTGGGTTGAGTAGGAACACACTCAGAAGAAGAATCAGGGTGTACTCTATGGGTATTTGGAGTAGGTGGAGATGAACTCATCTGTTCATTTTTTTGGCAAATATTTATCAAGCACTTACTAAGTGAGGCATTCTTCTAAGTGTGGGAAGATAGCAGTGAACAACTCAGGTAGAAGTCCAGGCCTTCCTAAATAATAACAGCTAGCATAACAGCCGGGTACAGTAGTGTACAAGTTCATACTCATTTCATTCTCACAAAAACTAAAATATGTAATGAAGAATTGAACATCGACCCAAGAGAGGTTAGGCCTTTGCCCTCTACACCTGGGAGGAAATCTCTAAGCCCTCAGAATGTCCTGTTTGATAAGTACCTCTGTTCACCTAGAGGCCATAGGCCACTCCAGAAAGCACAGCAATATGATTTATGGTGGGTCTTGGAGTTACACGATACCACCTTAGCCTCTGGAGGCACTGGAAATTGAGGTCAGACATGTGGATAGCCAATAATGTCTACGTGACAGAGCCAAAATGAAGTCGCAGGACCTCAGGGAAGGTGTGCCCGTCCCTGGTTGGCAATTCTCCGTGGTGTTTAATGTCACACTCTGTTGGGAAAGTAATGCTGTCCATGATTCCACTGAGAGAAGACAACTAGAAGCTCTGCTTTTGGAATTTTCCCGGACTGTGTCCCATGCATTTCTTCTTTTGGCTGATTTTAATGTGTATCATTTCACTGTAATAAACTGTAACTGTGAGTGTGAAATCTTTTGGTGAGTTCTGTGACTTACCATAGATAATTCTCAAACTTCAGGGTGCTCTTGGGGACCCTTGAAACTTGTAATTGGTGTCTGAAATATAGGTGGTCTTGGGGATTGCTCTCTAATTTCCTATATGAGCTAATTACACATGGGGAAACTATAGCACGTAAATGTTCAGCAAGTTGCCCAAAGTCATGCAGCCAGTAAGACAGGTTCATCTCCATGACGGTGGCCCCAAACCTGGCTGTCCCCAGTAAAATTCCAGATCATGCAATCAGAATCTTTCTCTGGGAGCGGAGCCCACGTATCAATATATTTTAAGGTTATCCAAATGGTATATTTTAAGGTTATCCAAATGGATAACCTTAAAATGGTTTCTAAAATGTAGGCAAATCTGAGAATCCTTCAGCTAGTCTGTGCTTTAAATGACCAAACTGCACGACTTCATTAGCTAATGTGAAGGAAGTCTTATGGCTCTTGAAGCAGCTGGCTTCAACTTAAATAGTGATGTTTTATAAAAAGCAGATTGATGCAAAATAATAGTGTTTAACAGTTGTCTTTGACCTTTGAGAAAACATCTGATGATTGTTAGAAAATGTTCAAGAATCTCTGATCTTAAGAAAAGAGGCTGTAATAATCTTTAAGTAATACTTCTGGGTTTGTATCTCTTTCTATGTACAGTTAGCTGTATTTGAAAAATAAATACTTCATTAATGATAAGAATAAGAATTTTATCAATTTATCCCCATAGCTAGAATTATTTTAAAAAACAAAACTACTATTTAAAAAATTTACCCAGATTTCAAGCACAAAATGTAAATCAACAGAAGAAAATTAGAGGTATGACATGGAGATTTAATTTTCAAAAGCCTGACTTTTATACCACTATTTTAAAGTAGAAACATTGAATAACAACAAAACCTGTATGAAATTGTGAGTTAGTCCCATTTATATTTCTGCATTAACTCCACAGGATACCTAGGTAAATTGCTACCTGTAGTTTACAAAATTTATAGATGGATTAGAAAACGAAATGTGAAATCTTTGATATTCCTGCTTTTTATGCATTTACTGATACTAATATTGTTGTTTTTTCTGTTTCATTTAATCCAGGTAAAGAGAGTCTTTTTTTTTTTTTTTTTTTTTTTTTTTTTTTTTATTTTTTTTTTTTTTTTTTTTTTTTTTTTTTTTTTTTTTTTTTTTTTTTTTTTTTTTTTCAGACATAGTCTTGCTCTGTCGCCCAGGTTGGAGTACAGTGGTGCAATCTCAGTTCACTGCAACCTCCGCCTCCCCGGTTAAAGCAATTCTCCTGCCTCAGCCTACTGAATAGCTTGGATTGCAGATGCCCACCACCACACCCAGCTAATTTTTGTATTTTTAGTAGACACAGGGTTTCACCATGTTGGTCAGGCTGGTCTCGAACTCCTGACCTCATGATCCACCTGCCTCGCCTTCCCAAAGTGCTGGGATTACAGGTGTGAGCCACCACACCCGGCCAAGAGAGTCTTTTAATAATTAACACTAACCGTATGTGATTTGCAGAAGCTCGTATTTACATATTCACAACCACATACAGAATTAATCACAGGCACTTTGAAAAATCTAAAAGGAGTCTTTTATTACTTAATTGGAAGTGAGTTCAAGGATAAGCTAATTGAAGATAAATCATAAATCAGAAAAGATTCTGGTGTAGCCAAGAGCACTTTAGCCTAAATTTCGGCAGATCTGAATTTGTGCTCTAGTTCACTCTCTGAAAATGTGACTTTGACCAAATTATTTAACATTTCTGCCATCGATATATTTATCTAAATGATTAAGGAGTTATACAAAATCATTTTCAACCCTATCTGTGTAGTTCTATCAGAATCTCTTGTGAATTTATTTGAAAAAAAAAAAAATTCCGTGTGTTGAAAGCATGGGTCCCTTGACTTAATGAAGATATTTACCATGTTTGTTTTGCTATATCAAACTGATAGGCTCTTGTCAACTCATCCAGGTGAGCCTGCAGCATGGGTTGCATCTCTTCCCGTGGGGATGGAGTCAGCGTTGCAGTGGACTGCTGTCCAAAGGAGATAGCAGGAGAAGAAGCCACGCCTCGGACAGGAGGTGTTGGGACCCTATCATCATCTTCTTCTAGTTCATCTTCCATACCTTGGTGTAAGTAAGTTTGTACTGGCAGTGGTGGGCACCAGCTATCACTGTCATAGCTGAAATTAAATGAGAAGAAGATGCACATTGACAGATATATACATAAACACACAGGCACACAATTACACTAGCAATAAGCAGCAACTGCATGGTATCTGAAATGTTCTCTCAGTTGATTTCCTCCTGAAGCTGTTGGTGCCACCACAGTAAATCACCTGGCTGTTATCTGAATCTCTAATTGTAATTACATCCTTTATCTCAATATCTCAATTTATTCTTAAAAGACCTTATTAGCTAATTGTTACCCCACAGATACAAGAGGCAATAACTTCCCAACAAACTTACTCATGTGGAAAAACCAAATTGCTAATTAAAGACAATTAATGAATTTAGTGCTTGTAGATTTAACTACTTCCTTCTCCTGTTCAGACTTGTGCACTAACATTATATGCCAATATAGCTGATTGATTATCTAAGAAGTTATTGGATAATTTTACTTATTCTTATTCTAGATCTCTGACAACCTTTCATTCCATATGTTATTAAGACTATGATATAAATGTATTCAGTATCTCTTTGATTCTCTTAATTTTCTCAGAAACTAATATCCTCTTTACGTTGTCATCCAAATGCAAATCATAAAACCAAAGTTCAAAACCTTGCCCTATAAAATAAAAATATTTTTATTGTATTAAAAATGTGATATTTATAATTTAAACAAATTTTGAGTGTAAAATATAACAATTATTTTAAAACCATATTTTTTTAGGGACTATGGTCTGCAAGCATAGAAAATTAATCCAGAAAATTTTAACCATGAGACAAAATCAATAGCATTTTTATTTCAATTCTCTGTAGACTGAATATTTTCAGAAATCAAATAAATTATAACCTCCTTTTAAAAACAGACAAGGAAAAGATAAATAGCATTATGGGATATCATGGTCTTATAAATTCAACCTCTTAAATATCTAATGAATCTTTCTCCTACAATTCATCCCCACTGCCACAATCACACATCAGTTTCCTACTGTAAACTAACTCATTAGCTTTCCTTCTGTATCATCTTCTGTTCTGCCCTTTGGTACACAAGTGCAGTAGAATACATCTCTAAAGTCTTCATTCACATCATGCCTATGCCTAAAATTATTTAGTGATTATAACTAATATTAAAAAAAAACTTTCCAACTCATTAGCTGAGGCTAAAAAAACCCATCCTCATCTGATAAACTCATCTTTCAAGCTTAATCTCGCACTATTTCCTCAACATTCATATACTCTCTTTTTTCCTAAAGTCTGCGTCTGTTTATATCTCTTCTCAAATCATTTGCTGGTAAGTGCCTACTCTTCCTTTAACGAGATTCACTTCAAACATCATCAGTTTTGTGAAGCCTTCTCTGCCCCACTCCATATTAATTGCAATTCTATAATACTTACATTTTGGTACTCCCCATATTATATTGGAATTAGCTGTTTCTGTGTCTCTTTTCTCCCAATATTTTGTAAGATTCTTAAATTCAAGAAAGCTGTAATTCTCAGATACTTCTTGCACCTAGTATAGTATCTGGTACATGAGAGATTAGGCAAACTATGATATTAGTAAATATCAAAAAATGTACATCTCTAGTCTTGATCTCTCTTACAAACAGTAACTCATAAATGTCAAGATGATTCTTGAATATTTTGACTTGGATGCCTTTTTATTTACCCTGTTTAAAAGCTAAATTCGGCCGGGCACGGTGGCTCACGCCTGTAATCCCAGCACTTTGGGAGGCCGAGGAGGGTGGATCACGAGGTCAAGAGATCGAGACCATCCTGGTCAACATGTGAAACCCCGTCTCTACTAAAAATACAAAAAAATTAGCGGAGCATGGTGACACATGCGTATAGTCCCAGCTACTCAGGAGGCTGAGGCAGGAGAATTGCCCGAACCCAGGAGGCGGAGGTTGCGGTGAGCCGAGATCGCGCCATTGCACTCCAGCCTGGGTAACAAGAGCGAAACTCCGTCTCAAAAAAA